GTTAAATATCGGTGGGGTGGCCGATGTCCGATATTCAGTTTTAAGGCCGATACCGATAGGGGGCCGATTATATCGTGAATCCCTAACGTTTTATGTTGTTTTATGCAAAAAAACAATGACAAAAACCTAACAAAATCAGGAAATAAATGTAATGCGTCTTACTAAGGGTAAGCTGACAGAAAACCGGCTAAAAGCAGAAATCTTTCTAAAGGGAGGAAATAAAAGGATCTTTTATATTCAGTTAAATGCATCCGGCTGCCATGTTGGATTTTAAGGTTGATGCCTAACCTTAGTCTTTCTCAGTCATTTTTTCAAAAAAAAAAGCCAGAGGATTTGATATAGTTTCCAAATGTGACTTACAATCCCTCTCTGTAGCCATCGATGAGGGCTTGAAAGAGCGGCTTATTATGGGGAATGGTCTGCAGGATGTTCCCGTCGGCCGTCACATAGCCGATGGCCCACTGTCCCAGACGGGTACAGCTCAGTCTGAAGATGTAGCTGAAAAGAAAAGACGAAAATCGGAACCATTCAGCCAAGGCTCACAGCCGTCTGTCAGTCAGCGCTCCTCGGGTCTCACCTGCCGGGTTTGTGGATGAACCTCTGCAGTCGAGCCTTGACTTCATCGTAGGTCAGGAAGGCCATGTAACCAGGATGTGTGACTGCAAGGCTGTTCCAGTTCCTCAGAAGAGACGACCACGGCTACAAAAAGGAAGAAAATACAACGCAATACAGTTCATTCTTACATCAAGCTAAATCCTTACCTCCAGGGGATTAATATAATATAACTAAGCGATTCAAAGTTCAGTCGTATTCAGAAAGGCTACCTGAAAGAGTCTGGTGAAGATGTCGAACTCAAAAACGGAGATGTAGTCATTGCAGGTGAGGTCGATGGTGGATTTTAGCGCCATGGCTTCCAAACCTGAACTTATGGGGTGAAACTCATGGAGAGCCTGACGGAACATCCTCCAGGGTACGATGGTTCTGAAACGGAGCCAGACAGACAAGAGATGCGGCTAAAAATGCAGCAAACAAGATGTTTAAGGTAAATGCAGATAAAAACAATCCAAATTCAATTTTATTCCTATAATATACTGCTATAGAAAAAAAACTGGCAGCTGGTATCTTAAATTCAAAGTACATTAAGCAGAGAGAAAATTAGGAAAATACAAGATTATCTTCATATATCCACTGTTTAATGAAGATCAAATTCCTGAAAATTTGTGATTCCTGGTCAGAAAATGTATCGTGATGCATTTATTGGCTGATTTGTTTAAAAATAACAAAAAAAATGTACAACTCTGAAATGTTTTTTTTTTTTCAATCACAAATTTGTCATTTCATAAATGCAAAATGAGGCTGAAACAAAATGTACACGCCGATTCTTTTCCAGTGCGTGAGGTGAAACATGACACTAGCTGTTTACGTGACGATCTAATCTAAATGTTGGTTGATCAGAAGTTCAACATGTCTGTTTACGTGGACACTCAATAAAATGATCCGATCATGTATCAAGCTTTCGATCAGATTACATTATTTGAGCATGTGCAGAACTGTCTAGTTTGTGGAAACACTTTAGCAGCAGAAGAAGAAGAAGCAGCAGCTACCCGTTTGGTAAACAAACCCGTACTTGCGCTGCTCCTCCTCAGCTTTAGCTACTCTTTGTAATTTCCCTGCACATTGCATTTTTCCCTACTATGGACCTTTATCGCATCATACTGTTGTTTTTGGAGGTCATTTTAGTTAAGGGCTCAGCTAAGGAGCAAAGGAGTATTATGCTAACACTCCTTAGCTACAGGGGTAGAGGGCAGGATGTCATCATCATCCACACATTACATTCAGAGCCACCTCCTGCACCAAGGAGGAACAGGAGACAGAAAATGAAGGCTATTAAAGAGAAAAATGTTGTTGCACACGTGCAGAGATGATTTTACTCCAAAGATCCGAATGGTTGTGTAGGTGGACGGCGTTTAGAATAGCAATCGGAGAAAAAAAAAAAAAACCCTCTTTCAATTGGAATGAAATGACTTTCTGTTCAGACCGAACTGTAATAGAATCTTCACTCTGACAAGTTTACGTCAGACATTTTTGATCTGATCAAATCCCAAATCTGATTATTTGTGTTCATGTAAATGAGCTACTGTTGAGCCTGAGTAGCAGCAGGTCTTAAAGGGGAACACCGTTATTTTTTTTTTACATTGGGCCCTTGATTTTACGTTATTCCATCATGTTCTACTCACCCATATGAGTTTTGTGTCAGTTGGAGCCGTTCTGAAGATATTCTGTTAGGTTATATCCAGATAACATCTTCGGATTGGCAACGACTTGAAGGCACAAACTAAACTGTTCATCATTTATCATTTATGGTACGCCAGCATTCAGAAGATGTAGGTGAATCACTGTCCCCCGGACATCCACAGTTATATTTTTTATATTTATATATTTTTTTAAACAAAGCTGAGTGTGTATGATGTCATCCGCGCACCGAACTGTAGTTCTGACAGGCAGCCCGCGCCACAGGCGGCTACGCT